GTGTGGTACGCGCCTGCTGCAGTCCGACCTTCTCGCCCTACCATGCATGTCTGGACGTATAAAACATACCCTGCTGTGCTCTAGCATCATTTGTACATACCTCTCTTGAAAACTGGGCAGTTTAGCCTCTCGTTCGCCCTCTAAAGCCGGTGCTGGGTGTCGAGATCTGTTGCCGAGAGAGCGGCCCGATCAGAGGGCTTCCACACGGGGCTCCTTTCCCGTTGGAAGCGTTTTTTCTCATCCTTTTTTTTTTTTTTCAGCCGTGCAGCATTGGTCCCTGTTCACCCGGAATGCGCCCCGAAAATCCACCGGCACTATACCGGACTGACAATGACATGGAAATACACTCTTTTTTTTTTCTCCCATCATTGGACTCTGTCGTCTGCCCCTCTGGCCCCTATCCTTCACTTCTACGAGCTAGACGACCCAACCGGGGTCACATAGGAGGGGGGGGCTGGATCCCCTCCTGCGGTTCCTGCCTGAGGTATTTTAATCGCGAGAAGGGTACAGCAATCCCTTCCCTCGCGACTTACGAAGTCGATTATGGTTTACTAACAACGAGCTTCGCAACGCGTCGCATTCATCCTAGACCAGGATTTATTTAGTGAGGAAAAAACTCACTCTGCCGGGACTCGAACCCATGACCTAGCTGTGTGCCCGCGAAGCACCGGCACTTCCGGGCATTGGTAAAGTGGGAAGTATTCAACCGGCACTAAACATGGACCTCCTCAGGGTATTCGTGCGGCCTATTTTCACTTCATGTATGCAAAGCATCCGCCATTTTTCGATACTCAGTATGCACGCGCTCAAGATGTAGTCGCTTGAAAAAAATATAGTTGGTCGCCAAACATGCGAGACGTGCAACGAAGTTCGCACAGGCCACTGGGCGCGTCAAGGTGAGTACAGCTGCTGAAGTTTCTGGAGCCATACTGCTCTGCCAAGCGTATACAATCAATCCTTTTGCGTGTAAGCTCCATCCACTTCTTTTGGCATGCATTACGTGCATGCATCATCATCTTTTGTCAGGCGTAATGCACTCTCCCCATCGTGCTCACACGTTTCATGGATTTCTTCTCAAACCACACACTACACTCCTCAATACAAGCAAGAAGTCACACCGTGATTTTTTCGTCCCACCCATGGTTTTTAGTTTGTTCGGGGGTGTCATAATGTGTCGTGGTTGCTGGCAGAGAGGGGAGGGGCGGACGGACAACATGACAACCAACCATAGAGAGTAAGTAGATTCCTTCGCCGTATCGGGGGGGTGAATGGCTACAAATGTGCCACTGAGAGGCGAGCGACTGATGCCACAAGCGCAGCGATCTAGAGAGAGGAAAAACACCCACCGCAGTGTGGTCTTGATGTGTGTGTGCGGCCTTCGCGTGCGTTGCGTTGATGGCTCGCGGTTTGTATGAGTGAGGCGTGAGTCACGAGGATTGGTCGTCCTCTGCAATCTACTTCAATTGATTGACGGTCGTTTGGATCTTTCGCATGTTGATGATACTCACTTGTTTGGTTGGTTATTGTTCCAAATTCTGCGTCTCTCTGTCTTTCTCCACGCAAAGGATAGATATTGCCGTGTCGACATGTTACTCGTTGTCGGTAGGACAGTTTCCCTCCATCTTGGTACAGTACTCGATCTTGTTGTCTCTCTGAGCACTATTTGAAAGGAGCATAATGGAGGGGGTTGTACTCATAGACGTGCGTGCCGTAAAGGAAAGTAGTCGTTGAATCATCGAGTTCGCATCCCTACCAACATGTTTTGCTTGCTAAGGACACAGGCTTCCCTCGTTGGGGGGGGGGCAGGTCGCAGTAGTCTTTACCCACTACGAAAGGCTGGCAGTTTTCTTCGTTGAGATTTAGAGACGAGAGGGTCTCAGAAGAGAGAGACAACAGAGAGAGAGAGAGCAAGAGTGCCGCCGAAGGGGCGAGGGAGACCAAGCCCGAGGGTCTCGGATTCCCAAGCTCCACAGGTGGCGCCAAGAGGGACGCATCCAAAGTCGGGTCTCTTGCTGGTCAACCATCAGCAAGATCCTCCGTTCGGATCGTATCTTGGTCCTACTTTTGTATGTGCAACAACAATGGTTACAGCACTGCTACACCTGTTATCCACATCATTGCTCTCGACCTGAAAACAGCTTTTATCGGAAAAGCTCCCGACGAGACGGTTCTAACGCCACCAGTTTCGGCACAGCTGTCAATACTTTTGGCTGGGAGTGATTGAGCTTTGAAAATCGGTCGAGCGGGTGCGGAATCTTTTGCGATCAACGTACGTTGTTCGTCCAAACTATCTGATCGATCCCTGCTAAGTACTGCATTGAACGTACTGGCGCTGAAGCCTTCCGGGGTCGCAGGCTTACTACCACTAAAATAGGCACAAGTATAGCCACGAAATGGTAGAGCAATAGCGAAGCCCAACAACAAAAGCCTGCCCAAAACAGAAGACAGCCTCCTCGGTGGCATATTCCGAACTTATAGCGGTATGGCGCAAGGAACTCAATCCAGCGTCGTACGCGGGGGTTATTTTTGCTGAGTTTGAACACACATTTTCTGGCGCCTCATTTTTTTCGGTTAATAGCATGTACGGTAAATGCCATCCCCAAGTTTGCTTATTTTCGGATTACAACAGATGAGTGAGCGCTCAGGGCGAGGAATATCCAAGCCAGGGATGAAAACGGATTATCGTGGCAAATCAACAACAACGAATGGCAGTAACCACAACAACATTGATGCCGCAGTGTGCGGGAACAAGTCTCCGTGAGGTGTTCATGGCCTTCGCGAAAACTAACGGCTGGACCGGGGCCGTGATCGCTGGATGCAGCAAGACGCAGAAGGAATTTCAGTTTCATGACCCACCGGTGAGAGGTCCAGCGAGGAGAGTGACATGGAGCAGCAACATGAATATCAGTGTGGCTGTTGTAGGAGTGCTGTATACGCGCTGAATGAGCGCTACATGAGATATCTTGTTTTTTTGTTGGATATGGATGCTAGGTGTCCTTCGGCAGGTATTGAAGTACTTGAAGGAAGATCAGAACCCAGCCCGGCTCCTCCTCGTGCTTTCCAAGTGAGGGAGTGCTGAGCGGAGCTGGGCAAAGGGGCTGAAACAAAACTGCAAGTACGTCGAAGCTGGAAACAGCGGGCCTGTCGCCTTCTCTTTTTTTCCATTGTTCCTCCATGACAACAGAGAACAAAACGCACGGCGCGTCAGTAGGAAGGAAAAGGGGGCACTCAGATGAATCCGGGTTACCGGGGCTCGTTTTGTGTTGAGCGGAGTGGATCAAGCGACAGAACCGGCGTTTTGGTGGAGAAATGCGGTTTTCTGGTGTTGTGCAGGATGGCATCAAACATGCCCACGTTTGCGAAGGTCTATCTAGCCCTTTGCCTCTACGATCTACGGGCGCGTAGCTGTTACTTGTCTGAACCCTTCTTCAGATTCTTCCGCGTTGGTGTCGTGCCGATTCTATGAAAGTTCACACTTTGCTCTGCGACTTGGGTATTCTCCGCAACTGCTGTGCTCGTTTTCATTTTTCTACACGTCCACAGTTTTCTTGTTGGGTCTGTTTTGATGAAATCTAAAAGAAAAACTCAAGCGGTGCGCCCTATCTACTCTTTGCGACGGGGGCACAGGGCTGCACGTATTTCTATTTCTAGGTTGTCGGGGTGCGGCGAAACCTTCCAATCTTCCACTTACAGCGGATTTCAGCCTCCACGCTAAGGCGTCCCCTCGCGCGGTCGCACACACGGCATCCAATTCGCGTTCTGGCGCATGTTTTTGACAAACCAACAACGAGCGTCACCTCGACCTCTTGCTGTTTGACTCATGGCCCGTCTCGCTACCGCACACGCGACACCGTTCTTTCTGTCCTCGCACAGGGGTCCGTGATTTGTGTCAGACACGAGGATCATCGGCCCAAGGACGAGAACATCGGGAGATGGCTTGTTTCGGGCACCAAGGTCCTGGCGGGGCATTTTTTCTGGGGTGAGGTGCCCTGGACAGCAGACGACGAATTGCGCTCCACCTGCGTTGTCCTGTTTGGGCCTTGAACTCTTGTGCTTTGGCAGTCCCTCATCGCCCTTCCCACCCTTCCACATCGTCGTTCTTTGTTACGAATTAACGGTTTTGCTCTGGAGTGAGGTACGCGCGATCGTTTTTCCCTCGCGTAACCCTCCTAACCCACGTCAACCAAAACGATTTCGACCGTGCCTGGACTTTCTGTTGAAAATTGGGAAGGGTTGAGCTGTCTGGGCGCCATCACCGCACAGCGTCGTTCATGCGTTCTATGCGAAAAAGCTCGTGCCTGGGCTTAGTGATGTAACAACGTGTGAAGGGTTGAGCTATCTCGGCACCATCCCGGCACACCATCAGTCATGCAAGAAAACGTGGTTCCCGCCCCCAAATTCGTCCTTCTCTTCCCCTCCCTCCCCGAACGATCACACGCGTCAGATTTCCGACTTATGGCGGCCCCGCCGTATCTAATGGTCACGACTCTGAGGAACCCGCTCGAGCTTTTCGTGTCCGCGTTACAGTTCAAGCACCGGGATGAGACGCGGACATTGGCGGGGGCTACGCGCTTTGTGACCTCGCAGATGCGAACAATATTGGGGTGAGACTGTCCAGGTGCCAGGTCGCTGTCTACGGTAACCGAAGCTAGAGTTGGCGTTGTCAGTGGACGCCCAAAACAACCAAGGCGGTAGGGCTGGAGCGTTCGTTGGTGGTTTGAGCAGCTAGCTGCTGTTGGGGAGCGCAGGGTTTGTGCATGCCGGTCGTGAAAAAAGCCTCTGGAGCATTTTTCTAAGACACTGAGACACGGTTGGACATGATTATCAGCCAGGGAATATTTGTCAGTCGCGGGATGTTCTTCGCGCCAAGGCGTTCGTGCTACCTTTGGTCCAAGATACCCTCGTGCCAGAGTGCTTGGCGCTGTGTACTGCGTACCCACTCGAGTGCCTGAGTTATTTTGTGAGGCAGTACGCATACTCGTCCTGTGTCATTGCCTTTCCCGAGTTCGTGATATATTCAAGTACTCCTACTGTCGTTCACCACATTCGCCATACGCAAAGGAACGGCAGAAGCCTTCTCGCGATAGAAAAAGAGACAAACACCGCCGAAGCAAGTCGGAGGAACCTCCTGTGTGACCCCTGTTGGTGCGTCCAACACACCCATAGGAGTAATCATCAGTCTACAGCAACATATGTTGAGGGAACCTAACTGGCGTCGAAGTGGAACGCGTTTCTGCGAAGGGACGCGTTTACCCCTTTCCAGCGGTAGCCTCACCATTCCACATATTTGTAGACACGAAATCTACTTCTTTGTGATTCTCTATCTCTCTCTCCCTTTCTCTCGCTACCTACCTACCTTCCTACCTAATACTATGTCTGCGCACCATTCTTGCCCTGTTGTTGTCGCCACCTGTTTCCGTTTCCATACTCTTCGTAGACCAAACTGATTCGGTACCCTATACCGCCGCAAGCGCCACGAATTTCAGGATTGAACGGAAAATGTGCCTCTGTTTATTCAATCGTCCAATCTTCTCCAATTTGTTGTCTGAGAGATATTGACCAGCCACCAGGAGCGGAAAGGCAGATTCGAACCGTTCGGTCGCCCCTCCGCCCTGTCGCCAGCGTCAAATTCTATGTCCCACTACAATCCATACAATTAACAGCCACTATAATGAACTAACACACCTGGGAAGGATGTTCTTCGTCGCGGGCCCCAACTCTAAGCTCACCTTCTTGGGACCGCAGTTAGGGATGTGTCACATCCCCCCGCCGGCCAATCTGGCGTCCCTGTTTGGACTTTTTGGGCGAACATCAACGCTTTAGTTTCATGACTTGGTCTGGGAAACTTTGATATTCTTGGCGTTAAGACAAGGGCCCCGGTATTTGTTGCAAGTGAGAGGGCGATAGCGGGTTCTAAAGCCTGTACTGCTGTTCTTGTGATGCGGGAGGATCGTTCATCAAGGCGATGCATCTGTCGGGGCCCACCTGTGGTACACGCTTTGCCGATGGGACTCCGTGAAGCACGTTTGTTTTCTGCCGGGGGCTGGCAGCGAATAGTTCATGCAAGGTCACGTGCTTTCACCTCAGCATTCCACCCGCTTGGGACTCATGTTGGATTCGTGCTGCTGGATATGTGTATATGCAGGCTGGAGGGTCTTGGGCAGCTTGGTTTTATCCGCGTGTTCTTGAACGACACCGGCGCCGTTGGCTACAATCCAAGAGGCGTGTACACACACAACGAGGTGCGTGAACCGAGGCGAGATAAATCGGTAGTCCGTGGCCCTTAGTTGTGTGCGCGTCTGGTCTTGACTGTCGTTTGCACGTCTTAGTTCCATCTGAGGTTCGGTCGGAGTGCTGTGTGTAAAGACGTAAGTAGCTCGGCAAGAACAAGCGAGTGTCTTTGTGTCACCAGCCTTTGGCTTGATTTGCCTTCATTTCGCCCTACTATGGAAAAGATTTGCCTCTTTCTCACCTTCCTGTGAACCGTTTTTTTCTCTTGTCTCACCTTGCTTTGATACGATTTTTGTCTGTGTCTCACTGTTTTCAGACGTGGGCGATGGCTACGGAGTCGGTGGAGCATCTCAACACCTTCTTGGTGGTGGGAGTCGTCGAGCAGTACGAAGGTTTCATAGAGGTCTTGAAGCACACCTTGGACCCAGGGCTGGAGAACCCGTCCGTGTGGACCACAGGGGCCAACGTGCAGAACAATAAGTGAGCGGGAGATGAGCACCGTTTTTTTTCAGTTCGAGTTCCCCTTGTACCTCAGCATCTACACAGGGTGTTTGCCTCTGTGCCATTTCGAGGACGGTTAGGTATTAGTCGAGCCAATGCCCTTCACGCAGTCATTTCCACGGGGGCGGACTAGCAACGAATCAAACAGTAGTCATCTCCGTTGTTGTTGTTGTCGTTGTTGTTGCTAGGCCTCCCCTCGGAATCGCAAACTTTTATCGTGATTGGACCCGATTTGTCTTGCTATATTTTGAAGAGGTACATGGCGAACGCTCCGGGACGCGTGTTCGCCCTCGGAAGTCAGGACGCCGCAACCCGATATGTTTGCCTTGCCCCGATGTTCGTGTTCGATTTTTTCCGTGTGCTGTCGGGATCCAAGACGGGGGGGGGGCTGGAAGGATTTCGTCGATTCCATGGGAAGGTTACTTAAAAGCAAACCTCGTGATGGGCACGGTATGGGCACCGTTGTGCACAGGAAAATTCCTCGGGTGATTTAGTCGGATTGATTTGCCGTCAGCGTGTTTCGTCTCGCACCTAGGTAGGCAAACAGTGGTAGGATAAGGTTGCTGAGTTGGTTTCACCAGGGCTCATTGCCATACGAATGTCAGCACCACCAACATCAACACAAGCGATGAACTGCCAGGGCCTTGCGATGAACATCGTATCCTGCATCGTTGCGTGGTACAATTCTGTTGGGGTCCGCCAGGTCACCAGTTCCTTCCCGGGACGTGCTGCGGAACATGGATCCCTACCTCGTCAGACTGTACAACGAAACGCGCCTGGACTTACAGTGGAAGGTATGCATTCAGCGTTTTGCGACAAGCCCAGTATGCACATTGTGAGACTCCCGTCACTTTTCATGCTTCGGCATTTCTTTGTCTCGCGGCAGCGAGTCTTTTCTCGCAACTCCTTCTCAGTAACACGCAGGAGGCTCGTCGGAACATTGTCTCTCGTGCCCGGAGCTCGGTAGGCCTCCGTGGCGCGTGTGGGTGACGGTAAAAGTTGCGAAAGCCGGCTCTATTTCTCGGGGGCATGTTCCGCGCAGGTCGTGCCTGGTGAACCACTTCTGAAACATATCAATAACGACATATTGTTCATCTCCACATTTGTTCGTTCATTCGCTGGTACCACATCGCTGTGACTCTTTGTGTCATCACAATGACCAAGAAGGAGTTCCGAGAAATTCCGTTGACAATGAACGCGATGACATGACGACATTGGTATCTAGAGCAACAGAAGGAAGCGGCAGCAACAACGACGGGATCACAGGTGTTGTGTTATTGTTTGGTCGGAGTGTTGATGTTGATGTTGATGTTGATGTGCTTATTTTGGCCGGATATTCTCGAGCAACTAGCAATCGATTCACCTGTCACGGGGCGAAACAAGTACGGCGCCCTGGTTTCTTTTCGCTGGGTCCTGATTTGGAGGGACAGCAGCACCAAGGTATTACGGTTCAGGAGCGCGTAGCTCCAAATATTGTTACCCTTAGTACGTGCGTGCCCCAAGAAACACTGTCGGAAGCTTTAGAGTGGTTGGGAGCGATGGCGAACGGGTCGCCCGTGGAGGTTCAGGGTATCGAACCGCCTGGAGAGCCTGTCCGCAGGGGGATCGAAGATAATAGGAAGGGTATGAGAGGTGAAAATTTCACGTGAGCTCAAGGACCGACATGACGAGGAGAGGCTGAATTGCTATGTGTGTGTGGGGGGGTGTCCTCAAGGTGGGGTGGATCTCTCGCTGCATGCTTGCGCATAACAGCAGTTCGAGGTTGATCGTCTCCCACCACCGCCACTGCTGTGGACGTTGTTCTACAGCATTTAGTTGCATCGGGCAACGATGGCGGCATTCGTACAAAGCTCCCGGCCGACGTGTTCGCATTTGTTTCGCGTTTCGACTCGGCTTCGAACTCCACACTTCCCCCAGACGGGCATTGACCTACACTGTTCGCCCCGTTTTGAATATCAAAGATTCTAACATTTTTTTTGAGTTTTTCTAAGATGTACTCGTATTACGTGATGACTTCCATTCAACCGGTTGGACACGAACAGGTGTATGAGGTGGCGCTGCAGCTCTGGGACTCGCGATGCCGCGAGGTTCTGCCCCCATCCGACCACGAGAGGTATTGCGATGTCCCGCGCCACGCTGATATACTAGACTGAGAAACGGTTACAGCAAATGTATGCGATTGGCTTTCGACGACGGAGAATAACGTACGTACGTATTTAGCGTTCATCACCGCACCCCCCCCACCGGTTCCTCGTGATACACACTTCGTACGAAGCAACTCGGTAAAGTCGCCATGACAATGTTTCCCGTTGGTGCTGGGGATTGCTCGGGTGGCATCTGTTTCTTGTTGTGACCTCGACTCCCGAGACAAAGCCACTGGTGAATTGATGTCTCTGATTGGTTGATTTTTCCAACATTGCTGTGAAGCGATACCTCCTTCGGATGCTTGGTTAGTTTACTCTTGTTGATGCTGGACACATCTACGGAGGGTGGTTTGGTCGGATTGGAAGAGAGCAAAGCTCGGATCAATCAGCAGTGGCTTTGTCGTTAGGTGGATAACCTCCCAAACTTGCGACGTTTTGGGACGTGGGTTCGAATCTTGGTGCAGTCACATGACCTGGGAGTTTTTTTTCACAAGATGCCCAGACAACGGGGGCAGACAGCGATAGTTTCGTGCGTATGCAAGAACTTGAGGTCGACGAAGGCGAAAAATGGCTTAGGCCTTGTCGCGATACAAATCAAGGCAGACAAGGCAGAAGAAAGGAGGAGAACAACCCGCGTGTGGCCTTCCTCCTGTGTTGCCCGACTGGTGCCTATTTTACCGAAAGGTAGTGTAAGGACCGGCGTCCAGAATAAATGTGACGCCGACAAGCAATGAAAATGCAATTGTTGCGTTTATTTTGTCTGCAGGTGATTGTTTCGTTCCAACCACATTGATAACTTTCTGTTTTGGGGAGGCTTGGGGTCTCCTCGAGCATGTCGGCGAGGGAAATCGATGCGCATTCATTGGAGTACGGAACATGATTATTTTTCTGCTTTTGGCTCTCGTTGTTGGGATTTTAAGTCGTTGCTGATTCGTCTCTCGTGGTACGGTAGCGTTAGTCTGTTCTGTGGTTGTCGCTCGTTGTGGTCTGTTTGGGCGGGGGGAATCGCCACGCCTAGAGCTGAGGCATTGTGGAAAAGCATGTTCTGGTGTTTGTTTTGTTGTTGATGATTTGAGCGTGGTTTCTTCATTTATTCCCGTGGCGGACATGAGCACCCTGGCTTCGTTATACTTCATTGCTTTCTTGGCGGCCTGGCTGTTGGGGTAAGAAAAACAGCAAGACTAAAACCATGTCTAGAGCCCAAACGTCACGAACAACAATAGCAGCAATGGTGATTGGCTTGATGGATAGTTGATGTTTCAGTAGAATGAACTGACGGAGACCCCGTCTGTTGATGGAAGATTTTTCGATTACATCATGTAGCACAGGAGTTGTCTTGTCCAGTTTCTTGGTACACGTACCGTTTGATCCTTCCTTTTCCTTGTGCCATCCCTTTTTAGTATTGGATATCTGTCCCCTTGTACTACTTGTAGGCTTTTCCTATTTTGTAATCTAGTTTGTGTTCGCCCCTACCCCTGCCTTGGACTATTGTGTACGCCCTCAAGATGTCGCTTGGACTGCGTTTTCATGTCTCACTGGATCCTCCTTTTAATCTCTGCCAAAGGCGGCAAGCGTTGGAAATTGGTGTTTTTTGGAGTTCTCAGAAGTGGCCCTTTATTTTTCACAAGGTCTCCGGGCTCGGGTGCCACAGGCGCCCGCGCCCTCAGAGTTCGGCTGAAAGGAAGGGTGTGGTGCGTGAAGACTCTGTACACGGCGCACCGAGGGCACGAAGGTGGAAAAGAGGTTCCGAATCAATGTTGCGACGTGACGGAAAGTTCGAACGACATACTTCCATTCACCCAAGAAAGTGGTGTACCCGACGGGGTGCAGGAAGGGCTGGATGTTATCTGCAAGGGTAGAGCAGCCGCGCGGACCAGGACCTGAGGTTCTCTCACCAGACTCAACAAGCGCGTCACTGCTCATTTTCGCGAGGTCGGAATATGAACATCACTGAAGGAATAAAATCAACCTTGAAGCCTTCCAACAGCACCCACAATTCAACATGACTGATATAGGGGTTGTATGCATGTTCCGCCATTCACTTGAATACACCCCGGCAAGTCAGCGCAAAATGAACAGCAGCAGTTCGAAGAACGCACGATTCGCTTGGGGCAATAAGTGCCGCACGAACATGAGACCATGTAATCCTCGCAGTCAACGCACACAGTAGAAAACACCAACGGAACACGAAATGGGTGGGTGCTACACATTTTAAGAGACAAGCAACAATGGAGCAGAGAAACAACAAAGTTGAAACCCGTCACCGGCCATTCAACAGCCACAGCACACGAGGGACAAAATCACGCCAGGAGTATTGCCGAAATTGGTCGGGTCCTTTCCTCCCAAACAAACGTCGTACCGGCTAACTGCGTGCTTGACTTGGTCTACACGGTCGATGAAAAAAACACCACACCATGCAAACAGTCGAACGCATTCGCGTATAGTGACACGTGGAGGTGAGCATACACGTATGTGACGAGGTGCCCGAAATTCATGCCGTTTACGCATTCCGCAATCTAAACGCTTGGGAGGAGCGCCACACATCGCGCACATCGAACGAAATGGTCCAGCACAACAGCAGCGCGGTTCACAACCGTCACGACCTCCCGAACACCTTCGTTCGGAAAAAAAACAAACAGGTTAGACATGGGGCATTACAAAACCGATCCAAGTCCCGACGACCAGAGGACACCCTTGCCATGCCGAAGAGCAGTTTGACGCGGATTTCACACCATGCTAGTCGGAAAAGGGTCTAGAGTTGACCGACGTTGACGGCATGTAGTCGCCCGACGGAACGACGACGTCCACTATTAATAGTCTCGACGAGCCAGATCTCTACACCCCCTACTGCCAAACGTTGTCCACCTCGTCTTCCCCTACGAAATCGGCTTCTTGGTCGCTCTCAACAACGTCACCGCCCGCACCACTACCGCGCTGCTCCGGCGCTTCGCCCTCGCCCCTCTCCTCGCCACCAGCAGCGCTTCTTTCATCCTGGACCTCCACGTCCAGAGTCGATTCGGCAGCTTTTCCATGTTCCTGTGCTCGTAACGGCAAGTCTTGCTGCTCGGCGTCATCATCGTCGTCTTGAACCTCACCACATGTATCGTTGCCGCAGCTTGCCTGCTCATCTTGCTCCACCACAGCTTCGTTGGCATTGTCGTCGCTGTCCCGCCTGGTGACATCCTGTGCCGCTCCGAAGGAATCCTGGGTCTCTTGGGAAGCTTTCTGATTAAGCCGTTCCTCTTCCAGCGCCTGGTCCAAGCGCTGCTCAAGCGCGAAGGCGTCTCCCTTCACTCTCTCCAGATCCCGGGTTAGCAGCTGCGACAGCAGCCCACATTCAGGCGCAAGACGGACCAATGTCAAACGTGAGCGTGCGAGAGGGTCGCATGACTCAGGAAATGACATCTACCATGGATGACTCCACAGGTATTCACACAGGTTGAGCACAAAAAGCACGCGTACGATTTTCGCCGAATGTTGTGCCTGAAGCGAAAGTCATACGCTGGTGGCAATGGTTGAAACTACAGGCAGAAACGCAAACGGACACACGGACAAGCGGCAATGACATGATGAGAAAACACACCATTGCCATGTTTGACCTACCTCCCGATGCTCGCTCTCCTAACAAAACATTCCGCAGAAAATATACCGAAGGGATGAGTGAGAGGGAAACTTGCTGACTATTGGACGTACGACTTTGTTGAAGCCTACACGCGGAGGGAGAAGAGATGCCCGACGGAACGCAAAACACAAACAGAGGTACACCTTTTGTCGACCCAGCTTCATGAAAATGTTCGTCCAAAAAAAACACAGTAGCAGGGATGTAGGAAAAACCAAACAACCAAAAGTGACCCCCCCCGCCCCCCCCGGTGTTTGCCATCGGGGTCGGGTTTTCGTCGCTTGGCAACGACGTTGTAAAACAAGCCGCCCCCCCCGGTGTTTGCCATCGGGATTGGGTTTTCGTCG